GCCTCGTCCTCGGCCTTGTACTTCTCGGCGTCGTTGACCATGCGCTCGATCTCCTCCTTCGACAGGCGGCCCTTGTCGTTGGTGATCGTGATGCGGTTGGACTTGCCGGTCGTCTTGTCGGAGGCGGAGACGTTCAGGATACCGTTGGCGTCGATGTCGAAGGTGACCTCGATCTGAGGGACACCACGCGGCGCCGGCGGGATACCGGACAGCTCGAACTTGCCGAGCAAGTTGTTATCCTTCGTGCGCGCACGCTCACCCTCGAAGACCTGGATGAGGACACCGGGCTGGTTGTCGGCGTAAGTCGAGAAGATCTCGGACTTCTTGGTCGGGACGGTCGTGTTGCGCTTGATGAGCGGCGTCATGACACCACCGGCGGTCTCGATACTGGAGACAAAGTCAGTAAAGGCGTGAAAAAGATTGGGAGAAAAATGTGACATACCCAAGAGACAACGGGGCGACGTCGAGAAGGAGCAGGTCCTGGGTCTTCTCCGAGGTGTCGCCAGTAAGGATGGCGGCCTGGACGGCGGCGCCGTAGGCAACGGCCTCGTCAGGGTTGATCGACTTGTTGGGCTCCTTGCCGTTGAAGAAGTCGGACACGAGCTTGACGATGCGGGGGATACGGGTCGAGCCACCGACGAGGACGATCTCGTGGACGTTCGACTTGTCGATCTTGGAGTCGCGGAGAACCTTCTCGACGGGCTCGAGCGTGGAGCGGAAGAGGTCCTGGCACAACTCCTCGAAGCGGGCACGGGTGAGCGAGGTGTAGAAGTCGATACCCTCGAAGAGCGAGTCGATCTCGATCGACGTCTGGGTAGCGGACGAGAGAGTGCGCTTGGCGCGCTCGCAGGCAGTGCGGAGACGGCGGAGGGCACGCGGGTTCGAGGAGAGGTCCTTCTTGTGCTTCCTCTTGAACTCCTGGACGAAGTGGTTGACGAGACGGTTGTCGAAGTCCTCACCACCCAAGTGGGTGTCACCAGCGGTAGCCTTGACCTCGAAGATGCCCTCCTCGATCGTCAAGAGGGAAACATCGAAAGTTCCTCCACCGAGATCGAAAATAAGAACGTTACGCTCGCCGGTGACCTTCTTGTCGAGACCGTAGGCGATGGCGGCGGCGGTGGGCTCGTTGATGATGCGGAGAACGTTGAGGCCGGAGATCGTGCCGGCGTCCTTGGTGGCCTGACGCTGCGAGTCGTTGAAGTATGCGGGGACGGTGACGACGGCGGAGGTGACGGTGGTGCCGAGGTACGACTCGGCGATCTCCTTCATCTTCGTGAGGACCATCGACGAGATCTCCTCGGGCGACTGTAGATAACGATTAGATTGGGTTCAAATGCGCGTTCAAAGTGAATAGACTTACGAATTCCTTCTCCTCGCCGCGGTAGGTGACCTGGATGTAGGGCTTGGTGCCCTTGTCGATGACCTTGAAGGGGAAGTGCTTCAAGTCGGCCTGGACCTCCGCGTCGGCGAACTTGCGGCCGATGAGGCGCTTCGCGTCGAAGACACTGAAAGAAAGTCAGGACGCGTCGCGACGCGTTGAGTGAAAGAGATGACGTACGTGTTATGGGGGTTCATGGCGACCTGGTTCTTGGCGGCGTCGCCGATCAAGCGCTCAGAGTCGGAGAAGGAAACATAAGAGGGAGTCGTGCGGTTTCCCTGGTCGTTGGCGATGATCTCAACGCGGTCGTTTTGCCAGACGCCGACGCAACTGTGGCACAAAGTCAGTGTCGTCGATCACGCGAGATCAGACAGATATACTCACGAGTAGGTCGTGCCGAGATCGATTCCAATAGCCTTGGACATGCTGGGCAGAGTGTGGTGGTGGTGGTGGTGGTGGTAAGAGAGGCGAGGGTGAAAATCTGGTGAGGACAGGCCGCAGACGCGACGCGCGCTTTTAAAATCACTTTACTTTCCGTAGCCTTCGGACGCGTTCCACACGTGGCCCCGTCCCCGAACGTCATCGCGCCTTCCAGAATATACCCGCCCTGCCTCCCGCCACAGCCCGCGTATACTGCTCCCAAGTACAGTACAGCATACTGTGAGCCTAGGACGGCTCACCGCCTCTGTGAGAGCGCCAGTGAGAGGTCCTAGTATTTTTGGTACGCTTTTCCTGGGCCGCCGCGGGGCAAGTCGCGTCATCGGCGGCCATTCGAGAACTTGCTCCCGCCCTCCATGCCCTTCGACCCGGTCCCTGCAAACCCTTTCGCCACACATCGTCTTGCGCGTTCCGCGTCTTTCGCGATGATGTGAGATGGTTGTTCGCTTGCGAGGATCTGCCACAAAGGCGCAGAATAACCCCGAAGCTGTCCATTGGATGGGCGGGCGTTAAATAAGAGATGTATTCGCCTACTAGCGCAGGCAATTGATATTCCTTGCGAGTACGCGCTGTAAAGAAGAGGTCTCCGTGACTCGTGCGATTTCAATGTTGAACACTGTATACCTCCTTCGTGAGGTATAGTGCGAGCTTACCTGGGTGCTGTACCGTGTAACAAGATGACTTCGAGTCTAATGACAATGTCGGACCGTGACGCAAAGCTTGCTATATGCGCTATATTCATGCACTCATTGAGATAGCACGCCGCTACTAGTCAACGTGCTAGCGTCACGAGGACTTAGTCTTCACATCTCCAGCGGATCAACTACTCAGTACATCCAGCGATGAGTTACTCGCACCGTCCAGTATGATGTGCCTCAGAGGTCAACCACCCGTACAATGCGTCCGGTGAGTTATCTTCATGTATTCAACATTTCCAAGTTTACCAACCAAGCTTGTAGATCGTAAGACCGTGGCTTTGACCATCTCTGAAACGCGCAACATCGCCTGGCGACGCCCCTTTGCAGACGGATGATCGTCCCATTCTGAAATCTACTTATGTCAAGTACGAATCCAGGTATCCGCCCCAGATGCGACACTGAGCGGTAAGAACACCGAGTGCTCGTGAGTACGACTCTCGCGTATCGCGATTGACTGTCAATCTTTTCTAATCCCTTTGAGAAACACACAGGCCGTCGCTGCACGTACTGTGAACTACACGTCATTCTGATACTCTCGCTCGATACTCCCGTTTGTTCCCGCAGAGAACAAGGCAGCTGTCAGTGGTCGATCCTGGCTGATACGAACCACGGAGGACGACGCTCGGTATCGCCGGGGGTCTGTTACCGTTGACATCTTCCGCGGGTCACCTATATGAGGCGAGGTCACTTCCCCTAGCGCATCTGAGGCGATTCACCGATATGCCTAGGAAGGCATTCACCATTTGTTATCTACCCATCATCCTACTATCGGCTTTCGTCTGCTGCCAGGATCTGAGCATACCTTTCAACTGGCGGGTAAGTCCACTGCCTCTCAGTTGCCGTCCTCAGCTTGTCCTGACGTCAGATGCCAATAGAAGCCCAAATCCAACCTATCGTCATCCGAGCGCCTCGATATCGCACAGTCGGCCATTGAGCTGCTGATCCCAGCCATCCAACTCTCTGGAGATGGCACCGGTCAGGGTACGTTGCCCTAACGTGCTCAGTGGCATGCGGCCTTACTGACGGTCTACAAAGGCATGAGTACGTGGTCATCAGGGAATATCCCGGCAGCTCTCGCGCAACACGACTACATCGCGCGCTCTCAGAACTATCACGCTCTTGTTACAAGCACCATTCAGTTGTTTCGTGATACGTATCCTCCCATCTTTGATCAAACTTTGTACGTGGCGCGTCTCTTGTAGCGTCGCGACATGCTCATGGCGATGACAGGACCCTGGTCAGTATCCTCGCTGAAGCCTTTTGCGCTTGGATCCCATCTCTCACGCTCTCCTCCGTAGAAGAACGTGGTCAGTGAACCCATGTGCGCACGCTCTTCAATGATCCCATCGGTGTGCGACCGAACTTTATGGCTGACGCCGTCTAGAATGTGGGGTTTAGCAGCTTTCTACGGCGCCCGCGCATACAACGACTCGGGTCTGCTCAGTCTCGCGGTCGATGTATGGAATGTTGCGCAGCCATACTACGTTTCCGTCCAGGACGGCGCACGTGGTACCCAAGCCTCAAGAAACGAAAGCTTCCCAACCAATTGCATCCCGACCAGTACGCCTTTCGCAAGTTAGTCATGCAGAGGTGACCATCTAATCATCAATTCTGTAGCCACGTCCGCCGGTGCCGTATTTTGGGTGAGTTATAGCTTCACTCACCATCGAAAGTTTACCGATGTCGTCGGTATAGGTGTCCTATCAACCTTGGGAGATGGAGTCCAACGTGATCACCGTTGGCGCATATGTCGCGTGAGTTTGTTCTGTGTGGACTACCAAAGTACTGTACTGATGTTAATGATAGTTTATCCGCACACCTGTGGGAATCCACCAAAGACACGACCTACCTAGACTCTGCGGAGCAGTCAGCGCACTTCATATACGACCATTTGTACTCAGAGACAGACAAGGTCCTTTGGGATAGGTGCGCATACCATGCGCCAGCATTGGCGAAGACGCTTTACTGAAGCCTCGCGGCCGCCTCATAGCTATAATCTCTCGGATTGCAACAACAATGGGTTTCAGTGGATACACAACCAAGGGTTCTTCCTCGAAGGCATCTCAATTCTGAGCTCCGCATCGGTACACAACAACACGACGTCATGGGCGACGATGTGAGAGCCAGTACTGCCGAGATCAACTCTCCCATCACGAATTGACATTGAACAAGCCTGCAGACCCTTGTCATCTCTACTGTGAAAAACCCCATCTGGGTCATCGGCAACGGCAGTAATGCAGGAATCCTACTTGGCGGTAAGCTCGGCGCACTTGAGGGTTCCGGACAGCGTACCGATTCTGCGTGACAGATTCAGCCAGTAACCCTGAGCAGTTCCAGGACCAGTTCATATGGAAAAGTACGTCCTGCATCTTCAGCATCGACATCGATCAGCTGATGCTCATCCGCAGACGTCTTCATTCGCGCTCTCTATGAGATCTGGGCCCGTTCGGCTCTGTCAAGCCCACTGGCTAGTCTGATAGAGGCATTCATCATGGTGCAGGTACAGTACTCGATCAGTGTCTTCCCTCAGATAGAGACGCTGACGAACGACGCTACAGTACAATGCCTTATTAGATCTTGCATCCGCCAACGAGACCTTCTACTCTCCAATCTGGACGGGTCCTCCGGTGGATGAGAGCTCGGCCTGGGGCCAGTTGTCTGCCGTGGACGTTCTGAATGCGGCTATTGGCATGTCACCAGCGGAGAGGTGCGGGCATGCGTCACACTCATTATGCCGTAGCTCTTAGGGCTAATACTGTCCCCATAGCTCAATGACGGCGACTCCTATGTCACAGGCAAAGCCTACATCCCGTCCCGTGGCACCACACGCGAACGCGCACGCATCCTCACTGTCAGACGGAGACATTGCTGGCATCTGCATCGGTGTCAGCATCGTTGTCGCGTTGATCATCTTGGGCGCTTTCCGTACTAGACGCCGCCAGCGCCGCAATCGTGGGAAGGACTCGGAAGACCTACATAAGCCCGACCCATTTGCTGCGAGCACACCGAGCACGGAGCACGCCTACTCAGAGTTCGAGGCGACTAGCGGGCGACCCATCGGGTACCTTGTGAAGGATAGGCGCCACAATCTAGCCGATTCGCATGGAGAAGGAACAAGCTTCGTTCCTCCCTCGAACGATCACCGGCCCGTCACGACCATTGCTACGTCTTCCACGCCTCACGAAGCGTATGCGAGGACAACACCCGTAACGGACTCCGTAGTTACAACCTCGGGACCACCAGTAGATGTCCCCGATACGGTCTTGGCGCGCTTGCTTCAGCAAGTCGTTGAGAGACTGCATGTGCAAGAGACCGAGACTGCACCACCGACATATACCAGACAATGATAGATTCTCCTCTCGCCACCGTCAAGCTTCCCCACGATTACCATGCGATGTCCGCCTACAGCCAGTCTTAGATCTGCTCGGTCTAATAAGCGCCATCAAACGTACATATGCCACGGTATATGTTAGCCTATATGAATATGTATCTGAGCATGTCGCTTGTACGAATGACAATGACCAATGGCATTCATCCATAGGTCAGTACGAGAGCTAGCCGTGGCGTGTGTTGGGTTGGCCACGACAAATCAACAGCAGTTCGTCCGATGGCATGATGGCGGTCATAATCATATCCTCTCGTGTGCCCGGCATGCGCGGCTCGTCACTCATGGCAACATCTCGGTCTATATCTCCTGGCATAGCCTGCGTACGCTAAGTCTAGTACATTACCATACTATATTGTCTGGAATGGCTTATCAACCGTAATTGAACGCCTGTAGCTCGTTCATGTTGATTTGGCCTGCATCTCCCGGGCCGCGGCGGCCCGCGAAAGCGCGTCACCCATTTGGGCGGCTATTCGAGGGCTTGCATCTGCCCACCATGCCCTTTGACGCAGTCCCCACAAACCCTCTCGTTATACATCGCCCTGCGCGTTTTGTGCATATCGCACTGATGTGGGATGATTGCTCGTGGGCGAGGGTCTTTCACGAAGCCGTGGATTGCGATCATCATGCGTCTTGAGTCCGCTCAGGCCTGCGCCCTTCGCGCGCATCGCGCAAGTTTCCAGTTTGTTGGCGCGTCCTGAAAGAAAGAAAGAAAACTAATTAGTTGCCATCGCAAAAAATGGCCTTGCAGTGACCGACGCCTTATAACTATGACCCTCCTGCCTCAACTACCGGCGACTAGTGGCAGTAAGCCACAAGGGCTCCTCTCGCCCAGCCTTTTCGGAGAGCCTACGCAATAGCAGAATGGTCCGAGTCGACGAAGATGCTTTTCACCAATGTACCGAGCAAGAGGGTCTATCTCCGAGGCAGTCTCATCACCCGAAATGTCATCATGCCCAGAACCTACGCGTCAACACTTTCTGCCAGCGCTCTCGCTACAGTGTGTCCATCGAAACACTGCCTACCTTATCCAGTCAGAAATGTTAACTCCTCCGGCTTCTCCGATCTCCACACTCGCGGTGGGCTTACTGACGATTAGCTGACGCTCATACCGCAGTCGCTCAACAGCGGGGGTATGCCCTCATACACGACGCTGTTGCTACTATACGTCGGCATAGGTCCGGCGACACCAGTCCCACGCTGTACATGAAAGCTGTGCTTATTCGCATCGGGCTACTGTACTCTTCCGCATGGAAGGTTTCGTGCCGCCTCCTCAATGTCCTGGGCGCCCGATGACATGATGGGCTGTCGTGCACGGACATCTGCGCGTCTATGAGCAGTCGCACCTCCATATAGAGGTCTTCTCAGCTGATGCGGGAGAAGCTCTTGTACAGATCACGGATCGTATTCACAGTCAGCAGGTGCTCATATAAGAAGGGGTCTTGGTTCAGCTGTCGGTGTCACGAACAACCCTAGACTTTCTACAATGGCCTGGACGTCGATGTCACTGTTTGTCTTGACCATGGCCCTTGTGGGATTCGCAAGAGGTCAGGACTTCGGTATTCCTTCTGACTGGCGGGTACGTGCTCGGCCCACTCATGTCTCCCTTCAAGGGGTATTGACGGCCATATGCCCTTCTACAGAAACCCACTTCCAGCCGTTCTCGCTCCGAGCGTCTGTCCATCGCTCGCACTGCCATCGCATCCCTGATATCAACTGTCAACACTAGCGACGGTGCCACCAATCCAGGTATGTGCTATCCATTTGCATCAGTATAGGGCGTTGACAAAGACGCATAGCCATGGACATATGGGCGCACGCGAACGTTCCCGCAGCCCTCGCCCAATACGACTACATCACTGAGAGCCAAGACAACCACGATCTTGTGTCGAGCATCATCGCGGGTTTCCGCAACACGCATGATCCTTCCTACTTCAATAGTACCATGTACGTGCATTCATGTTTGGATACTGTCCCTTTTTGAATGATTTGCA